GTGTGTGTATATATATATACACACACACACATATATATTAATTAACCATTGAACACATAATTTTCACATATTATTGAATAAAAATGACATATACAAAAAAAAAGAAATTTGTATAGCCGGCCGGCAATACTCAGTTTTCCCCTTAATTGCTTTTAAAAATCGTACAGCAGCGACTGTACTCTTTAAAAAAAAAAAACCAGTGTTACTCGTTTGACGCGTGGCTCATAAGCGCTGTCCGGGACTATACACATACATATATAGTATAGCCGCCCGGGTATACTATATTTTTAAAGAAATCATCTAGCCGTGCGGCTATACTCTTTCTCCTACTTTTAAAAAAAAGTAGTATTTGACACGTGGCACCTAAGCCCTTGGTCAGTCCCTTTGTATATATATAAATAGTATAGCGTTCGGCTATACTCTTCAAAATGAAAATTTCATTTACAAAATTTCATTTTTGAAAAAAATATATAATTGGTTTCTTAACTTTTGTTTTTTGGCCTACATTTTTAATTTCATATATGTAATTAAGTAATATGTTAGCCTTTTTTAATTACTTTAATTAGTAATTATATTTTAAACTACAATTAAAGTAATGAAATTAAATATGGCGTTTGCTCTATTAGGATACAACTTTCTAAATCAAAGTCCTAGCACTAGGGCTTTCATTTCTAGCAAAATTTTTTGGTTTATCTATGCAGCTATACAAGAATGATGATATGAATGTTCTCTGCGAATTTATAGGACAAACTCAAAATGTTTCTTTTTATTTAAAGAATTCAAATAATTAATTAACTAATCGGGTTTAATTTAAATCACAAAGCCCAAGAGCCCCAAGGTCCAAGGCCAACTTTTTGATTAATTAAGTAGGTGTATATATATATATGTATATATATTTATATATATAAATTAACCTTTGAACACATAATTCTCACATATTATTGAATAAAAATGACATATATTTTAAATTTAAAAAAAAGTATAGCCGGCTGGCTATACTCATTTTCCCTAATTGCTTTAAAAATAGTATCGCCGGGCGGCTGTACTCTTAGAAAAAAACCAGTTCAACTCGTTTGACTCGTGGCGCATAAGTGCTGGCGGATCTGTGCACATACATATATAGTATAGCCAACCGGCTATACTAGCTTCTTTTTGAAATTTTTTAAGAAATCGTATAGCCGTTCGGCTATACACACTTCCCTAATTTTTTTTTCAAAATTAGTAGTTGACACGTGGCACCTAGGCTGAGGGCCCGACCCTTTATATATAGATATATAAATAGTATAGCCGTGCGGCTATACTTTTTTAAATGAAAATTTCATTTGGGAAATTTCATTTTAAAAAAAATATATATAAAAATATAAAATTAGTTTCTTTACTTTTCTTTTTTCGCCTACTTCTTTAATTTAATATATGTAATTAAGTAATATGCTAGCCTTTTTTAATTACTTTAATTAGTAATTATATTTTAGACAACAATTAGAATAATGAAATTAAATATGGCATTTGCTCCTCTAGAATAATGAATCGGGTTTAATTTAAATCACAGATTCCAAGAGCCCCAAGGCCCAAGGCCAACCTTTTGATTAATTAAGTGTGTGTCTTTGTATATATATATAAATTAACCTTTGAACACATAATTCTCACATATTATTGAATAAAAATGACATATACTTTTTTTTTAAAAAAAACTAGATTCCTTTTGAAATTTTTTAAGAAATTGTATAGCCGTGCGGCTATACTCACTTTCCTAAAATTTTTTTCAAAATTAGTATTTGCCCCGTGGCACCTAGGCCCGTCCCTTCTTATGTATGTAAATAGTATAGACGTGTGGCTATACGTTTTAAAATGAAATTTTCATTTGGGAAATTTCATTTTAAAAAATATATTAAAAAAATATATAATTAGTTTGTTTACTTTTCGTTTTTGGCCTACTTTTTAATTTAATATATGCAATTAAGTAATATGCTAGCCTTTTTTAATTACTTTAATTAGTAATTATATTTTAGACAACAATTAGAATAATGAAATTAAATATGGCATTTGTTCCTCTAGAATAATGAATCGGGTTTAATTTAAATCACAGATTCCAAGAGCCCCGAGGCCCAAGGCCAACCTTTTGATTAATTAAGTGTGTGTCTTTGTATATATATATATATATAT